AAAACATTCCGGTTATAAGAGGACCCAAAATATTCAAAGAATGGCAAAAAATACTCTCGAGATTTATCTGGCAAGGCAGAAGGCCCAGGATCAGATTTAAATTGCTTACAGATAAGAAGGAGAGAGGAGGACTAGCTGTTCCCAACCTAAAACTATATTACGAAGCAATCTGTCTATGCTGGGTTAAAGACTGGATAACCCTGGAGAACTCCGATTTACTAGATCTAGAAGGAGTAGATAATAGGTTTGGCTGGCACGCCTACCTCTGGTTAAATAAAGGGAAGGTGCACAAAGGATTTACAAACCACATTATTAAAGGTTCTCTCTATGAAGTTTGGCAAAAATATAAAAAAATGTTAGAACAGAAAACACCCTGGTGGCTATCCCCCACAAACATTCTATCAATCAGAAGGATAAATGTGGATGAACCCAAACTAACATATGAGGATTTGTTAATTAGATCACATGATAGTTGGAAGTTAAAATCATATGAGGAGCTAAAGGAGAAGTTAAAGGGCTGGCTACAATACCACCAGATTAATGCATTATGGACGGAAGATAAAAAAACAGGAATGAATGAGAAAAAATCCAAGTTCCAAATTGAAATAATAGAAGCTAAAACCAAGATAGTGTCCAAAATGTATGACATTCTACTAGAATGGGACACAAAGGAAGAAAAAACCAAAGAAGTCATGGTTAAATGGAGGACAGACTTGGGGCATAACATTGAACATGAAAAATGGGTAAAACTTTGGAGGGAGGGAATAAAATTCACGGCAAGTGCTGCAATAAGAGAGAACCTAGAGAAAATGATATACAGATGGTATTTAACACCGGAAAAACTAAATAGGATGTATAAGACCGGCAATAAGGAATGTTGGAGATGTAAAATAAAAGAAGGCAACTTCATTCACATGTGGTGGACATGTGAGGAAGTTAAAAAGTTCTGGAATCAGATATACAACGAATTAAAAAAAATACTTAAATATAATTTTCCTAAAAAACCCGAAGCCTTCTTGTTAGGGATGGTGGGGAATGAGATACAGGACAAAGATAAAAGCCTATTTCAATACTCAACAGCAGCAGCCAGAATGTTGATTGCCCAAAACTGGAAAAATACAATTTTACCAACAGTAAAGGATTGGCAAACGAAACTATATGGCTTCATAGAACTGGCAAAAATGACACAAAGAATTAGAAATCAAAAAAAAGCAAAGTTAAATGAGGAATGGATTAAATTTTCAGCATACATGGAAAGCAACTACGGAAATTTACCAACTATAGCAGGTTTACTATAAAACTTTCGACGCGTTAGCAAAAAACCAACACCAGCTGTAAAGTGTAATGTAAAAAAAAAAAACGTACACCTAAAATCAGTAAGGAAGGAGGTAGAGGTTGACTGTTAAGTGTTGTATGTAAATTTTTAAATGTGTTTTGGGTTTTTTGTTGTAATTTGTTTTGTGTGCCTGTTTGTTTGTCTACCTGTTTTTTTTCTTTACCTTTTTGTATTATTTTCTTTTTTTTACTTTTCTTTTCTCTTTTTTGTAAAGTTTTTTTAAAACCAAAATAAAGTTTAAAAAAAAAAAAAAAAAAAAAAACCTCTGCCTACGGCGGAGCCCCTCCAGCATGGCTCCGTCAGTCGCTAGCAGAATCCGAAAGTGGTCTCTTACGGAATCTCTTCCAGCATAAAAGCTCCTTAACGGAAACACGTCTTCTGGATTCTCGGCGTGACAGTTTCCGGCGAGGAGTGGGTGTCCCTATAGGAGGTCTTGAAACCTCCCCACTGTTTTCGCTGGAAGTGTCTCTGAGCCATCCCTCCGACTCACTTTCCCCTGGAGCCCCTCCTCTCCCCCTGCTGGTTCCCTCTTCAGCTGCTAAGTCTGTCTCAACCCCAGGGAGCCCTTCCACCTCCTGTCCTTCTGATGGCAGTTCCCTGACATATATGATGGTAGCTCTTTCTCCAATGCTGATACTTGTTTATGTAGACTAGCAATTGCTAGGTGATTCCAAGTCTAATTTAAAACGCCTATCAAATTGGGTTCATGTGGAAGCAAACAATGATAACCAAGCTATACTGTTCATTTCCATTCTTAGTAATGATTTGTATGTCATTCTACCTTGTATAAACTTTTCTTTTGGTTTTCAAATAATTGTAAGATATCTCTAAAGCTAGAATGATCTTCCTTTTTTCACATTCCTTTCTGTGCTTGTTTTGGTTATGCTTTCAGATTCTTTTCAATCATCTCTTTTCCACATGGAACTTGGCTGACTCACTTTGGAAAACCCATTTTTCTAAAAATGGATCAGCTCAGCTGAAAGTCCTATTACACATATAGGCAAACACACACACACACACACACACACACACATCTTCATTCCCTACAAAGTTGGAAACCCACAAAAATTTGGATCATGCTAGAAGTGTTTAGATCAGAGGATCAGGGAGATCCAACTTTTGAATAAACACAATATATCAGTCAGCTATTAACTGTTGTATGTAATTAAGGAACAGGCAAGGATGAGCCTGAGATCCATTCCTGATCTCACCATGAGTACTGGTTCCAAAGAGTCATACCAATTGAGCAGACCCTTGTTCTAAACATGTTTTATATGGCAGGTGCAGATGAGGCAACATATATGCAGAAAAATGTAGAAATTGACTAGCACAGCATTACTTGTGAATATGTATTTATATTATTGCATGATGAAGATAACTGGTACTGTAATTGTAAAAGACAAAGTAATTTTACTAAAGTAGTGCATGTTATATGACAACATAACCGTCTTACCATTTGTAGCTATATTGTTTTTAATGGTTGATATTACATATAATTAATTGCTGCTCCATGCAAGCCCAGTTTTAAAAATCCTTGAAATTCCTGAGCCATGAAGGTCCTCCGACGTTATTTGACCAACTGAGCTTTCATAATTGGACAAGAGATTAATTTATCTAACGGGATACTATAAAGTATGGATTTGTTGAATTCAGCATTCACTATAACTTCAGGCAATATGTTTCAGTGAACTTTACATAACCCCTTGATACCAACAAAGGAATTAGTTGTAAAATTTCCCAATAGGTTTCCTACTTTCATGTCCAGCCAGTGATAACACTGAGGAAGCTGAAGTACTAAGAAATCACTTTTTAGAAATTAAACCCTGGGATCAGTTTGAGCACTCCTAGGGGGAAAGTGTTTCATTGCAGTAATGATTAATAGAACCTCTTAAGTGACAGAATATTCACCAGGAAGTTTTCACTAAATGAAATATTGATTCAGCCGCCACTAGGAGAAACCCAGCTGGAAAAACTAGTGTTAAGATCCCATGGCTCTAAGAAACCTTACTTTCCAACATTAATCAACTTGATATGGCATCTTTTCAATATATCATTATTCAACATTGTTTCTAATAGACCTGCACATGCAGTGTGGACTTATCAGTTTACTGCTATCACCTAATACTATTGCACAACAAATAAACAAGAAACATTTTGCTGTTGTTGTAGCTATGCTGTTATTTATAGAAGCAAGGAATATGAGCCAGTCAAAATTAAGTGGTTTTAGTTCATTGTTTTTCCTTGGGCATCTGTCCATCAGATTGATGGTATATTTCAGTTAAGAAAGTGTTCAACATATACTTAACTTTTCCACTGAAATCCATGGAACTTAAAAGTGTTTAACCTTGGCTAGCTTGAGTCTAAATTTGGTGATATTGTAATTGTTTATAAAGAATATGGCTTGGGATGTGGGTGGTACTGGGGATGCGGGTGGCGCTGTGGGTTAAACCACAGAGCCTAGGACTTGCTGATCAGAAGGTCGGTGGGTCGAATCCCCGCAATGGGGTGAGCGCCTGTTGCTCAGTCCCAGCTCCTGCCAACCTAGCAGTTCAAAAGCACAAAGTGGAAGTAGATAAATAGATACCACTCCGGCGGGAAGGTAAACGGCGTTTCCGTGTGCTGCTTTGGTTCGCCAAAAGCAGCTTAGTTATGCTGGCCACATGACCTGGAAGCTGTACGCCGGCTCCCTCGGCCAATAAAGCGAGATGAGCACCGCAACCCCAGAGTCAGTCACGACTGGATCTAACGGTCAGGGGTCCCTTTACCTTTACTTATGCTGGCCTGGGGGATCCTATAAGTTTGTCCCTACCATAAAATTACTGTGCTTCCAGAATTCCTGATCTGGAATCCCCAGTACATATAAGGAGCTCCCAAACAAGCAAGGGCTTCTTTATTTGCCTTAGGTCATCATGAGCATACCATCTAACATGTCGAGATGAAAAACCCAGACACTGTATTCCAGAGCCATACTCCTGCCCATGTCAAGTGACCTGCACGAGATCACGGGCCCCCAAAAAGTGCTTTTTCGGGGTGAAATTGCAGTGCCCAAAATGACCACCATGCTCTCTCATAAAACAAATTTAAAATTCCAGCCCATGTATAAGAAAAAAGTGAGGCATGTACCTGTTGTCTGTTCCTCTCAGTTGACCTTCTTGAAACTACAGAGGGGCAATTTTAATTAGGGAAGTAGCCCACAAGAAAAAGAAAAAGATAGCGATTCACATATATTTTTCTCCCCTCAGTTGGATTTTTTGAAGCTTCAAGGGTGAAATTTCAATTGAGGAAGCAGCAAGGGGGAAGTAGGAGAGTTTAACATCCCCTTTTCCCAGTATCATCACCTAACCCAACTTGAGCAACCCCATATCTACTTTTCTGGTTGTTTTTGTTTTAAATGTCAGGAGACCCAAATTTACCTCTCCCACATCTAATCCCTTGTATTGAGCTGCTGCCTGGTTTGGATCAGAACTTTATATATATGGTCCAATAATCAAATGAAGTGCATTGTTTCATCTTTAAAGAATCACAAAATGTTTTATTGTCTTTCAAGTAAATAGTTATGTAGTTAAACAAGAAAATGCATCTTCCTAACCATCATCCTTACAGCAGAGATGATAATAAACTGTGTTTATTCTAGCACTAACATAGCTTTCTCTCATCTTAAAAGGCACTCTTTACTTAAAGTTCTTCCCAGTCTGAATGTGCTTAATGATGAAAACATAAAGTCTGATGCAGAAAATGCAGATGAAAGAATGATGAAAAAAGCACAGCCAGGAAGCTTTGCAGCATTTTGTCAAGCTCAGATTCAAAAAATTGATTTAGTCAGCAAAAAAGCCACAACTAGGTTAATGTAAGTATATTCAGCATTTTGATATGCCTTTCTGTACTCCTAAATATGAGAATATGAATACATCAGAATCACATTAAGGTGAAAAGTTGCTAAAATATCTATTTCAGTTTTTCTTTTACTTAATTAATTCATGCCTTCCGACACCTTTTAAAAAACAACAGTCTCAAAATGTACCAGATGGATTTAGCTCTTCCTCAAGGCTTCATAAAACAAAGCCACTAGTAAGGTTTTTAAATTAACCAGATGCTTTACTCTCCCATTAAACTAATGGGCCTAAAAACAGCTTAATTGTGGCTAGATTGCACTCACTGTGTTTAAGACTATATCAGTTGTTTCATGACATTACTTTGCATTGCAAGGATGCTATCTACTATTGTAGACGTATATGCATGAAGAAATTAGTACTGTATTGTCAAAGACCGTGTCTTTACTTAAGTAGTCTTCTGTAGGTGTGAAGTGCCCATGTGCTCTTATCATGTGTGCAGTGTAACTCCTTTCCTTGCATGCCTCACCACATGGATTAAGTGTCTGAACAGAGCCTAAAGTGTTCACCTCACTCAGGAGAAGCACACAAATTCTTATTTGAAGTGCTGTAAAACAAAGTGCGAAAGTGTTTGCATAGAAGACTTGAGACACATTTGCTAAATCTCTGCTTTCCTGCACTAGACTGTTCCTTATTGTAAAGAAAAGGTAATAGGCAGAATTTCAGTTTTGTGATGTTGTCGGCAATGGTAATCTGGTCATAGGAGAATAGCATACAATTCTGAGGTGATGAGGTAAAATTCTGACTGAAAAGAAGTGGGTGTGATTTATAATGGAAAGGGGGGAAGCTGTCTGGTTAAGATAGACCACTTGTGTCTTATCTATCAGTTAACTGTTCTTCTTTTACATTATGAAAAATGTTAAGATATATTTTAATTTCTGAAATGGGCCACCATTATTTATTTAATTTTCATATGTGTGCTTCTGAAAAGAATCCACAGAGACTAACAACAAAACTGAAAAGACATGCATTGGACTGTACTGTAAAACAATCAAAACAACAATAATGAGAACCGTAATAAAAATAGTGCCATTCCACAAAGGAAATGGAATCCATAGAAAGCTGCCATTATAATGAGTTAGACTACTTGACCATGTAGCTCAGTATTGATGACCTGTGACAGTCTCGAGTTTCAGACAGCATTCTTCCTCACCTCTACCTGCATTCCAAGAATTGAACTTGGAACACTTTACATGAAAAACATGTGCTTTGTTACTGAGTTCTCATCTTTCTCTAATTTCCTGATGGTGTGGTATATTTTTTAAAAATATGGAAAACAAAATTCATATAATAAAATCACACATGACCTCCCCCTTCTATGTGTGCCTAAACCAATCTCTGTTTCATGTAAATTAAGTGTCATGTAGCATGATCCTATGTTTAATTGAAATAAGCCCTCAGGTAGTGCAGCAGGGCTTGCTCCCAGATAAGAGTGCATAAGATTGCAGCCTTAATGCAACATGCCTAATGAACAGCATAAAAACTAAGCAAGCTTCTTGTCTGTTTGACATCTCACTAAGTTATGAGGCCCTGTAGGTATGACCTCAAGTATGTAAACTGCCAAAGGTAATCATTGCTAGGTTTCCTAATCCATGTTTCATACACTAGAGCTGCTCAATTAAATTGTGTTGTTCCTGCTTTTAAATTCACTATGCCTAGCCTACCCATGTTTAAGAATTATGTGCTTTAAAAAAAATTAATTACTCTGTCTGTCAGTTAATCTTTTCACACTTAGTTGTAAGTAGCTATGCTAAAATGCACTTCCGTTTCAGTGTTTTGGCTTTCAACAGGCTCTGGTACAGATGCCTGGAAATAAAAGACACTAATGGAAGTTGAAACCCTTTTAAACAGTTATAGTTTAAACAGATGAAAATGGCATAAAAGCTTATAAAAGGAAATATAACTGAAGAAATATAAACATTAAAACTCTTTATGGAGTTAAAGGCCTTTTGCAAACTAGACTGGAACAATAATGATATTAAAGTATATGTCAATTTACATAGCATTACATGATGCTTCTTTGAATATGTACTTGTCACATCTTTTACTTTTCTTTATATAATACATATTATCTTTTTTTAAAAACAAACAATTCCAAAATGCTTTTGTTTGTGAAGCAAGATAATATCACACCATCTTTCAAGTAAAAAAGCACAACATAGTAAACAATATTCAACTTTAAAGTTTGTCAGAATTTCCATAGGTATAATAAAAAATATCAAGTTCACTTAAAGTAATATTGCTTCTTTACATAATGATATAATTAATGTTGAATAATATGTATATTAAGCTGAAATGTTAGAATCCAGCATCACCTCTTGTCTTATTCTTGAATGGTGATGAAAATTTCGTATTGCAAAATTACCTGAAAGCTATATCCAGCCCTCAAGAGCTTTGGTTCTTTGCAATCCTAGAACATTACAAAAATTAAACTTGGGGCACTTTACATTAGAAATAACTAAAACTAGGCTTGTAATTCTAGAGATTCACTTGAGTGAAACCAGCTTTACAGTCTCTACATTACTGTATCACTCAGTAATGTATTCTGCAATACATTGAAAAGTAGAGAAGGCAGCAGAAGTGCTCCCTAGATAAGAAAAGATTGACTGATGAAATATTCTGTGTTAAAGCATCTTCTGCCGCATTTGGGATGTTTTCAGTTGAAATTGCATCACTTAATATGTTTCCTAATACACATTCTAGTGAATTTTAGAACTTTAATGCAAACTGACTTTAATTTCAAAGTAACATCCCACGTCTGGCCCCTTATAGAGAGTTCTTCTGTTTGACAGATAAACCTACTCCATTTTCCATCTCTAGTCTTAGAAGGCAGAGATAAGTGGAGCAATACCATATCCTATTAACTGTTTATGAAAATCTGTATACTACCACAGACATTTTTTGCAACAGTGTTGCAAAAATAATAATACCGAATTGTTTCAGTTAATGCTTGATCTTGATAAAATAAAGAATAAATCACTGCTCCGTGTTTTCCAAAGGCAGAGTCTTTTTGGTTGTGCCACAGCCTTTATGGAATTCTCTCCTAAAGGTAGCCTGACTGGCCCAATCTTTCATCACTGTTTGGCAGACATATGGAAGCTAGCTTTACAGGAAAGCTTTGGAAATCCAAAGTTGCTACTGATTTTGCTTTGCACAGGAAGGAGATATAAAATGCTTTTAGTTTATTCTTGTCTGCTGATTTTATATAATTTATGCGATTCTCAAGTGTCTTTTCCTGGTTATTTTAGTTTTTAATATTTGTGTTTCTTATTTGTAAGCCACCACATTGGCTCCTTCCGACAAAAAGTGAAAGGTACATAAATAACTAATTAACAGATATGGTGTTTTTTTAGGGGAGAGATAAACAGGCACAGTGACACATTATACCTTATTAAGACCAACCAAAGATTACATGTCATTAATTTGACATGTAAAAATGTAAAGAGTAATATTCTAGCCGCTTTGGTGAAATAGTGCTATATGCACATTTAAAACCTACAATTTCAAAACCAAAGTATATGTTTTATAGTTTTATAGAATAGGTGCTACCCTGTGTATTAGAATATTTCACATATTTCTATCAGGAAGCTTAATTTCTCAGGTCTTCAGATGTTTCGGTTTATGGCTGTCATCTCTAACTAAAGGACAATTTGCATCTATTGGCCCCATTGAGGGTCTCAGCTGGTCATATGTCCAGCTTGGACAGAAATTGTTCCAAACTGGCATTTGCGCCTGATATTGTTGAAACTTTGGGGGCTTTTGCTCTCCCCAGGGAGGCTTTTTCCCTGACCTTTGGCTAATTAGACAATCTCTGGTCTTTTAAACTGCGGGGAGGTTATTATTATTGTTTCTTGTGGGGCAGCATAACTAAAATTTAGATGGGGGGAAATTTGATGAATCATTATTCTAAAACCAATAGATGCTTTTTAACATTTCCCTCTCCCAAAGTGAATTCTCTGCAGATGCTGTACAGCTCCAGTGTTGGTATCTTAAGAAGCTGATGAAGCTAAGTAGTGAGCACCGTTACGCACATGAATATGGAGTTCTAAATGCTACTGAAGGAGAGGAACCAGTAAAACGGACAGATCCTTTGAACCAAGAAGCCATTAACATCACAGAGCAAAATAACTTCAGTATAAGTGGTGTAAAACAAAATAAGCAAGACTCATTCATTATGGCTGAAAGACGGAGTGCTCCTGGCCACACTCAGGCTATGTCCGTTAACTCTTTCGTGACAGTGTCTGGAATGGGGAAAAATGGAGAACACAGACAAGAGGACATTATTCAATATTCCCTTAATCACAATGAGGAAAGCAAAGATAACGTATTAATCAGTCTACAGAGAAACACGTTCAGCAAGCAAATGATGGAAAGCAATGAAGGAAATTCTCTTCAACATTTTGACAGTTCACAAAAGTAAGATTCAAAGGTCAAAACACTTTATTATGGAAACATAACCATATCACTGTGTAATCTTAATGCGGATAAGGGCATGACTGGTTCCATGTACCAGATGATCTTTCAGAAATAATCATAATTCTATAAAGTGACTGTCAAAACTTATTTTCTCCTCAGTTTATATATTTTTCCCTTAATAGATAATAAAAATAGTTTTGCTCCAGTACTCAGTAAATAATTAGGAAGGATTGTTATGTCTATTTTACCAGCACAACATCATGATCTGCAAGCACAGAAGCAACTACCCTGAGCTAGGGCATCACTTCAGGGTCCTTGCTTCTGCATAGGACACAGCCATCTATTTTTTGCTGTAGATAGTCATTTCAGAAAATCATTGAAAATCCCAAAGGTGGGTATGTGTGCATGTGTCACTGCTGGTAGTGTCTCCTTCAAACGCTGTACTAAAGATTTTGCAGAAATATGGGGCTAGTTTTGTATGGAAAACTGATGTACCTGAGAGATGATAATAAGCTGTTTCAGTATGGTCTCCTCAAAGTTTTAGTATAATAGGATGTACTTGCTCAGCTAAGAACACCTTCATTACTACATTGCTGTGTGATTATCTATGACTTACGTTAAATAACAGATATTCATATCTATAGAATCTGGTTGCCTGTAAATCAACTTGGATTTCCTTTCAGAATCTTGTTTAACTTTCTTTTCATTCTAGTTTGTAGGTTTCTTTTCTGATAATCAGTTCACCTTAAATTAGCCTAGACCTATTCTCTCACAGGTTATCTTTATAACTGTCAAAAGTTATATGCTATTTTATGTGAAACGGGTGAAGCGAAGTATCATTTTAAATTATAGTGTTAAATAGTGTTAAACTAAGCAAGGTAAGTATTTTACAGATATACGAATAACATATTCCAAGCCTCAAACATTCCATTATCGAAAGCATACCCAAATGGTAATCTAATGCATTGATTCAGTTGTCAGACAATCTCACTGCTTGTGCGTTTACCATAATAAAACCTGTCCAATTTAGAAATCAGTGGACTTTGAAATGGGTTAGGGATAGGCAGTACTATGGTTGCAATAAGCCTTACCGAGGCTTTTCTCTGAGTTTACACAGACCTGTGTTGTTGCCATGTGGTAACTCATCTATAAACGATTTTTTGTGTGGGAGGGAAAGAAGGGAGCCTTGGTTCCTTTATGTAGGGTAAAATTACAGACCCACTTACTATGTTATGGCTGCTTTAAAATTCCCCATCCTGTGGCTATCACCATATATATATCTGAACACATGATGAACAGACAATTGTCATGTCCCATAAGAACTTGCAAATTTAGAGAGAAAGATGTGTGGGTCTGCTTGGGACACCCTGTGACTAGACAGTGCAGACAAATGTCCATGCATGCAATTAGATCTGCCATACACACAGTTTAGAGTGGGCATGACAAGTGTTTTTATTATTTTACCTATCATAAAATATCAGTTTTTGAACTAACTTGTTAAAGTCTAGTTTTTAAGACTAAAAGATTAAACTTACACACCCAGAAGGGTATAATGGCTAGTGATATCAAAACTTTCATATTTGATTAGGCTTGCCATACATCAGGAAAATTCCTGACATGTCCTGGTTTTTGGATTCAAAAATAGCATCAGCGGGGAATTGGCAAAATGCCAGGAAAACCCAGATGTATGCCAATGAGCTGAGAAAAGCAGTGAAAACAGCTCAAAAAGCTATTTTGGGTGGAGGTTTCCCCAAGAAAGCTCAACAATTTGGGCTTATTCCCAAAAAAAGCTGAACAATTTTGCGGTCTTCCTAACAAAAGCTCCACCTATACCCTATATTTCAAAAATAATTTGATGCAACTGATGGCATGAACTCTCAGTCACTTGTGCTTAATTGTCATTTATTGCTATAAATATTATTATTGGAATTTTTTTAAAAAATGTTAAAGCTTGTCTAATTCTGTGATTCTGCACTGTACACTTAGATTGCCTACATGGGCAATGCCTTGATGATGTTTATTATTTGTTTTTATGAGTTGCCTCTTATAATAAATTATTTAGGCACTTTTACAAAATAAATAAGCATAAAATATAGTAGGAATCATTGAATCATAGAACTGTAGAGTTGGAAGCTATCCCAAAGGTCATCTAGTCTGACCCCCTGCAATGCAGGAATTTCTCCACATGGTTCCCCGTCCAGTTTGAAACCTTACTGGGCTCTGCTTAGCTTTGCAAATGTGCTAGCAGTTTTATTGCCATATCACTAATAATAAAAACATACTACAGTTAAAATATCTGATAAGCTTACAAGACCAAATCAAATAAAAACCGAATCAGACACTTCCATTTCTATGATTCTGTTAATATTTTGTCAGTAGTTTCTACCTTGCATTGGATGTTTTGTCCAAAACAAAAATATGTATTCTCAGGCTGTACTAGAACCCTCAAAGGTGGTGTGTGTATGGTAAATTTGTGCAGATGCCACAAATCCTGCCAATTTTTCTAAAAAGCAGTTATTTTTGAGCAGGTTTAAGATGTATAACATAATAAGAGTTCTGTAGTATCATGCTATTAGTCATTCTCCTTCTCAACCTGAAGGGCTCTGCTTGTCTTCATGACTGCTTTCTTTGTTGCTTTTCTAGTCACACCTCATACCATTATGGTGAGCTATATGGTCTTACTGTATCAGTAATCTCTATATGCTTGCTAATACAAAACTACCAGACTTGAGCTGGCTGGTGAAATTTCATTCCTGGGCAAAGAGAAGCCATGTCATTGTGCTTCCTTTTTCCATCTAACTGAACATTGACATATTTGCATTAAGTGATATATGAATAATATGTTGTTGTTGTTAGGACCGAAAAGTGCCATCGAAAAAATCATTCAACGCCCCCCCCCCATTGTGATAATGTGTCTCCAACAAAACAAAACCACCATACAAGATATATTTCCCTCCCTTTCCACTACCCTGAAATTTTGTGTGAGTAATTCAGTATGTGCATGTGAAATATAATAGAACAGAATTTCATGTGCCAAATCAGACATAATATCCACCATGCTGACAGGCACATGGCCCAAGGGATTTAAATGTGGCTATTTCTGGTAGAAACAAAATGCTATGTGCACAGAAAGTCCAGTTTTCCATGTGCAAATGTGCTGTTGCAGCCATATGACTGTGAGTATATATTCCTGTGAAATAATTTTCATTTACAATATCTGACATCACGTAGATTTCCACTCTTATTATAATAAATTAAATAGAAACCTCATGAAATAAGTGTGGATCATATTATGGCTCTGAACAAAATAATTTTAAAATAGAATGCCTTTGGAATAATCTGGCCATTTTGCCTCATCCTCACTTTTTGCTCCTGCTGCTCTGCATGAAGAAATCCTCAGCCACCAAATTTCTTTTTCATCCCAACCCCACTCCCAATTTAGAAATAGTTTTGCTCACAGCAGGAGGTGCATAGGACTAGGCTGAATATTTCCTTCTTTATGTTATTCCTTAGTTATTTTGTCAGTCATCTTCAGCTGTTGTTCTTTATTACTCCAGTTTTCCTAATAATAATAACCATAACAACAATAATAAACAACCATAATTCTCCATATTGTAGTGGTTTATCCATCAGTCTTCCTCTGCATTCTGTGTTGCATGTAAATGATGGGTGGTGAAACAATTTTTTAAACTTTCAAAATCATTTGCTGTCATTGGCACTGGTCACAGCTGCTGAGTACAGTCTGTTATTTTTCTGATATTTCTAGCTTGGCAGCCACAGTCATCCAATCACACTGGCGAAGCTACTGTGCTCGTAAAAAGATAAATTTCTACACGTGGCAACATCTGGCTGCAACTGTGATCCAGTCTTATTGGCGAAGCTACTATACCAGGAAAAGGATTGTCAACCTAAAGAAGGAAGATCACCATGATTCCACGGTCAAGCATGAAGCTGCTACTAAACTTCAGGTCAGTCTACAGTCTTTGAGAATGGATGTCTAACTCTCTCATATAAGCTTGGACCACCACACAACCTGAAAAAACATAAAGGCAAACAGAATGTCCAGCACTGGACATTACCTCACAGAGTCAATCCACCAAGCAAACATTCTTTGGTTCTAAAACGGATGCAACTAAAAGATGCAATTTCACCTTAAAATATACAATAAAACTAAAAGATACTATAAAATTTAAAGATACAGTGGTACCTCAGCTTACAGAGGCTTCAGGTTACAGACGCTTCATGTTACAGACTTCACTAACCCAGAAATAGTACCTCGGGTTAAGAACTTTGCTTCAGGATGAGAACAGAAATCGTGCTCCAGTAGCGTGACCGCAGCTGGAGGCCGCATTAGCTAAAGTGGTACCTCAGGTTAAGAACAGTTTCAGGTTAAGAATGGACCTCCAGAACGAATTAAGTTCTTAACCAGAGGTACCACTCTACAATTTCACCCTATATGTGTGCACATCAGTGGGTGGGGAAGCCCTCTCCTATTACCTACTAGGGGCTCATATAATGGATCAATATAGCCCAGGTTGGGTGCTCCTTGGTAGTTCTCCATGGGGGCAACCTAATCTAAGACTAGACATCACTCACATAGAGAAACACACAAATAGAAGGAAGTCTTGTTGTCCTTTAACGAGTAAAGCCCTATTCAGGCATATTATACCTATCTTGTTTTCCTCCAACAGGGCTAATATAAGAACTCCGTTATCCCTGATGATTGGTTATGCTGGCTAGGACTGCTGGGAAGCCCTGTAGAATCTGGAGAGCCAGACCCATGAGTTGCCCATTCCTTCTGTAGGGCTTGCTTTTGAAAAGTTGTTTGCATTACTTTAAAGGGTGGTGGGACTCAAAATAGTGACTGGGAGCCACATGCCTGATAACTAAATGGTGACTTCATATTCAGTGCTACATGCTGGGGAGAGACGGGACTGACTGTTGATGCAAACATGTTGCTGGATTCAATAGCCTTGCCGCTGATCTAGGGAAGGGGGGCATAGCTCAGTGATAGAGCACATGGTTTGCACACAAAAGGTCTCGCATTCAGCCCTCAAGCGTCTCCAGTTAGGAACAGGAAAGGTTCCAGTATAAAACACTGGAGAACTGATGCCAGTCAGTATGGACAAGACAGCTAGATGGGCCAATGTGTCTGACTTGGTACAAGGCAGTTTCTTTTTAAGTTTGCAATTGGGACATCAAATCATGCTTTGTTATACTGTTGTTGGACTCCAATTTCCAGAAGCCCTATAACTCAAAGATAGTGGGAGCTGTAGTCCAACAGCATCTGGAAGGTCACTTATTATCCACCCCTGCTTTAGACAATCAAGTTTGCATTACTGGTTACTGGCACTATATAGTTAAAAGGGCTACTTGCACTGATTTAGTTCCACTGAATTTCCGTGACATTTCACTAGTGTTAAGAGTTTTATGAATCATTACCTTATGGTGCAAATAAAAATGTCATCCTGCCTTCTAGCCTTAAAACAACCTTTTGAGTATGCTAAGACTTCTTTTAATCTTTTTTTTGGGGGGGGGGGAGATAAATTAATGTTGAAACCAGAACTTCAAAATATCTAAAATCCAGAATGTGTGTGATGGAAATTCACCTGGGTTCCAAAAGTGAAAGAGAGATTTGAGTCCTTTTTTTATATTTCCCCCTGGATTCTGAATGTGAACTTTCAGAAGGACCAAAATCAAATGCACAGCCCCAAACTTAGTAAAGCACTACAGCTAAGCAGGACAACAGAATTTCTACTTAAGAGTTTCATTGTTAGTACTATTTAACAATATGTCATGCTACAATTAATATGCCCAAAGTATCATTATTTATATGCTATTTTTATACAGATTTAGGGAGGAGGCAACGGTAGTGCCTATTTTCAGTTATGCAACTAGAATGTTCTCAAATTCAGAGCCACATAATGTGGTTTTATGTTATCTCCTTTATTACAAGCCATTATTTGTTCTCTTATTAGTGGTTCTCTTGATGCCTTTCCTCCCTTTAATTTTTTTTGGGGGGGTTTGTTTTGTTCTTTGTCCTTTCCCCTTCTCATAACTTTCTCTCGTAAATTAAATTCTTCCTTTTAAAAAAATAGTCTAGAGATTGCTAGTGAAGGTGAAAATGATTGGCCTAAGTTAATTGCTGATATGTCTGCATACGTTGTCAGGTGTAATCAGTGGAAATTTTTATTTAAGTGTGTTTTTATTTTTGTGAAAGTTAACACTTAATTCTTTTTCGTATATCTTCTTCCCCTAAGCTTATAGTAGGTCCTGAAGGGATTGTCAAATAATTAATTAGTTGACCTTGGTTTGTAGTTGAGAGGGTTTTAGGATTCCATTCTGCTTACTCGAGCCAAACCTCCAGAGTATTCTGAGCTCTAGACATATGCTGATATTTAATTTGTCTTGTAGTTTTAAATGTCACATAAAGTTCAAAAAACAGATCATTGAGCTATTACAGAAAAAGAACTACAATGTTTTATCTTCCTAATGGGATAACAGAGAATCTGGATTTGGATTTGATCTATGGCCTCATATAACATGCTTTACATTTTTGTTTAGGCACTCTGGAAAGGTTTCCGTCTGCGAAAGAAACTGGCCAGTGCTTTGGCAGCTGTTAAAACTGATGAAGCTGATGATGACTATAGCGAAATAGATGTGGATGGCTTTATGTTTGATGAAGTAAGTAGAGTTGTTTAATATTTAATTTATAATTCTAAGTTATTTGATTGGTGCTAAATTGGTGCAGGTGCTAAAAATATGATTTAAATGTAAGAAGAAATGAATTGGTTTTAAAGTTTTGTCTCCTGGCAAATAACTGGAGAACAAATCTATTTATTTCATCTATTTGTTTTAATTTACTTTTAATTTTCTTTATTTTTATTTGCAAAATGTAGACTCGGCTTTTTGACAAAATCCTTCAAAAAGTGGTTTACATTCTTTTAAAATACAAACCTGTTGGTAATTTTTGAGCTATATTAGTTTCTTGCCCTATAAACTGTTCTATTGACAGTCATGCTAATATTGTGACTCTTTTCATGGAATGCTGAGCAGTACAGCAAAATACCCATGTGTAAATAGGTACATATAGAAAAGCTGCTATTTTTATCATAAAAATATTTTCTAGCATCTCAATACTTCAGTTTTGCATGTATATATTCACTGCAGTTTTGAAATTTTAATATTTGGGGTAAGGAGTGCTTCTGTAGATGGGTGGCTCTGATACAGCCCCTTTTGTTTATCATTCCATTTTTAGCATATAATTATTTAGTCTTATTTACAAGAAAGGATATATTGAACTATGGTGGATAACAGGTCTGATAGTTGTTTTACAAGCAACAATGATAAAATTAACAAATTCTACTAAACAGACTGAAACAAAGAGGTAATTGAATTCTGAGTAATTTAACTCTCCTGTCACTTTAGACATGAATGAGTATAATTGCCTTCTAAATTTAAAAAGTTTAAGGTGAAAAGAAAGTGGAATCCTGCAAAGTCAGAATATTTATGTGATCGAACAGTAATATGAGAGTTTCAGATGGAATAGATTAAAATTGCTATAAATTATTTCTGATGATGAAGGATAAATAAAAAACATGGCCCCCCCAAAAAAAAACTGTTTAGGGAATTGCTTATTAATACAATAATGATCAACACACTAATATTTCAGTTTTAATATAAACAGAATATTTATGCAACATTGATAATATTTTTCTAGTATAACTAGAATTATAGCTAGTAGCTACAATTGAGTATAAATCAAAAATTCAGAACTACTGCCAGGTCTCGCCCTTTCCCTAAGTGACAACCTTTCCCAGCAACAGAGCACTCTTAATATGGGATTCTTTTCCCACTGGTGTTAATTGTATAGTCAATGATAAGAGTGTCATTCAAAACTCACAGCTAATTCACAGTGATGGAGTCTGACTAGAGGTAGCAAACAAAGGAGTTTGGTTCGATTGCCTGTCCATGTAAAAAACATTGTACAAAGATAATATGATGATAACAATCTCAAAAATCTGGCTACTGATCATGTACACTATTTCCTGCCCTTCACCAGCAGGTTCCATGGTGGGTTGTAAAAACTGAAAATTCAGTACTAAAAAAATGTAAAAGAAAAGACAGTCACAGGAATATGATGGGGCCTTAAAACACACATATCAGGTGTCAAAGGTCACAGTAAACATCATTCCCCTAAAACTATAAAGTAAAGGTGGCAGTCAAACCTCTGTGTAGAATTCCTGGTCACTGCCACCCAAACTTCTGAGGGAGGCAGAACAAGCAAAAGGACCTCCTCTGCAGATATTAATACCCAAGAGGCTCTCTACAGAATTAACTGTCCTGAATTCCTTTTCTAGACATTGATTTAAAAGACCCTTCAAAGACAGGTTTTTTGGGGGGTTTTGTATTTGGATGGGAAAGAAGTTGTACACAGATAACTAGAATTTGGGGGCTTTACTCATGTCTAATTTAGGAGGGTGGAATCTCTGTCCCTTAAGATGGACTCTAACTCACATCAGCCTCAACTAGCACAGTCAATGCTCAGGGACAATGGCTGCTGTAGTCTAGCAACATCTGAAGGACCACAAGTTCCCCACCTCTGGCTGAATTACTTTTTTATGCTGTGACTACATTTCATCCTAATTATCTATTCCTTAGAGCCATTTTTAAACCAACTCTTTCATTGGGGTTATCAGCCTTCTTTCTCATACTGTGAAATAAGTGGGATAGTTAGGTGCCCAGATATATCCAAGTTATTTCTATATTGGTCCCTAAATTTTAAACCCCTTTCCATTTTAATTCGTGTGAATTTTACTTGCAAGATTCAGGCATGTTTTCTACCCATTTGTTGCAATATCAGTGGTTATTTGGGTATCTCTGGTGCCTTTCCTTTTTTCACACTATTATCATTGGTGCCCTTTAGACCTTACAATAACAGCTTGGGAAGTGTCTGTTGGATGCTTGAAACCCACTGGGTTTAACCATTTGGCATGTTCTTACCATACAATGGTTCCCTGGTTGGAATAAGGGGAAATTATCAGAACCTGTTCGGCTCACCTTATGCACATGGTAGGATATATTTATACATTGCAGAGGTGCTTTGAGATTAACCCTCAGGAAGCAGCTCCCAAACCATTTCTGTAATATCTAAAGGGTGCCTAAGATATTAACTAATTTATTATAATCCCTGCTAAGAGTCTGTGATGACTTGTGCTTCAATTTTATTTCCTTTTCGTACCTCACGATTTCAGCCTCTGAGAAAGGGCCAGCAAAATGTGCTCTTCTTAAGTTTCTCCATCCTGTTGTCTGCCATCAATTACAGAGCATTTAACCCTATTGTAAATCCATCATAACGTATACCCTTTTAAAAAAAACCATGACATTTATGATGTCTTTATACACAATATGAGGTAAACTGGGACCTAGTTAATCTTTTACAGCACACAGGCTTCAGGCTTTATTTTAGCCACTTCCAAAAAACCAGGAACTTGGAGAGTCATTTTCTCACTAAAGTGCTTGGACAGCCATGTGCCAAGAATGCGTTAATTCTGTCAGCATTGACTTCCAAAGTGCTTTCTTTGTGAATAGGAGCCATCAGTGCAGCTGAGATCATACTTGACACATCTATCAGTCCCTTTAAAGGGACCAGTGCAAGGAGTGATGTGTTGATTTTTCACTTTCCTTCTTGTGTAGGAGAAATGTTATTTGAAATAGATCTGGGTATTTTATTCTGTTTTAATATTAAAATTCAGAAAAGCAGTACTAAAAATAAACTAGGGGATTTTTTTTGTAGTAAAAAGCAGAAGAATGGCAAATGCATGTTTCCCACCAATTTCATCTTTGTGCCTTCTGACCTCCAAAAAAATTCAGAAGCATATTGAATGTCATTTAAGGCTGTAATCATAACCCCACTGTCTGAATAGGCATTGTTAGAATTGTGTTGTAAATGTTACCCGATTTTTGTTTGTTTATTTTTGCATCCGGTTAATGAAAGAATATGTAAGATCTAATAGGTCTTGTTGGGGAGACTGGGATGCTGCAATTTTCCCAAATATATACTGTAAAGGGAAAACACAGCATACAAAACACTGTTGGTTGTGCTTTCAGTTCTTTTTTATTAAATGAAATACCCTGCACACATAGGCAGATGAATATAGACATTCCCCTGCTTCTTGATGAGCAAGAAGGGAACTTCTATGAGTTTCCAACAACTCTACATACACTGCCTATAGACCGCAGTCATCAGATCACTTCATAGCTTTAAATTAGAGGAGAGACTTGAGATCACATAGGGACAACTCAGTTGTCCTTGAACATGGGATACGTGAAGCTCCTGCTTGTTTGAACCAGAGACTATATTTCTTTTTGCAGGCAGGAACTGCCTTCTCCATGCTGAGAAGGGGAAAGGCCTATTTACCCAGGTTCCTGCAGTTTGACAAGGCAATCAATATGCCTCTGAATTCCAGTTGCTCAGAATTACTAGTGGGAAGAGTGCTACACTGCTTCTCAGGCCCAGATTAAGAGACTCTAAGGACTTAAGTATTTGGTGCCCCCATATATATCTAATTCAAAATAGAGACAATAATGAACTGTAAAATATATATTTTTTATTTTCCAAAATGAAACAAAAGCTACAGTAAGATGGAAAATAATGTTTATTTTTGTATATTTACATAAATAGTGTTTATTTTTGTTCAGCTGCACCATATGGTTTATGGTAAATCCAGCAATGGAAAATTTCCGTGATGCCCCTCTTCCCTTGATGCCCTAAGCACATGCTTATTTTGCTTAATGGTTAATTCAGCCCTGCTGCTTCTGAGCTTCCTGTAGGCATTTGGCTGAACACTATGAGAACAGGATGCTGGACTAGAGGAGCCATTTCATGATCCAGCAAGTCTATTCTTATGTTCAAATAAGGGTGCACTCCTCATTAGTATTGTGTGTACTTCTGATTCTATAGATTTTAAGAATGTTTCATTCTGTTTTAATTATTGCTTTTTCTGTGTTTTAGCCGTTTCTATATTATCTGTGAGCCATCTTGAGTCCCTATCAGGGAAAAAGTGGGATATAAATAAATACAGTACCATAATCATAATTTGATTATTTTCTTCTACATTTTTAGTGTATGTATGTTTTCAGCTCTGTGCACCGTATTGTTTTCTTATTTTTGATATAAATCACACTCCACTGGAAGGAGTCTAGGGTGATGTACAACTAAATAAATAAATGTAAAGATAGTGTCAGCAAATTGGTGAGGTTTTCCCCACTCCTGTCATCAGGAAAATGAGGAATTGGTTCTTCTCTTCATGTTTATAAGAAGCCTTTACCTGAGCAGCAAGTTCCCTACACTTGCATTCTCACCTTTTCTCTGTTGATCATGAGTATCTGAAGGAGAATTGTCTTCATGAAGTAGCTAACTCGGCTTTTCATCCCACAAGAAATAGATTTGTCCACAGTTTGGGTAGCTTAGCTCAAGAGTAGCATGAAGATGATGAAGTAAGATTATGAACCAGATCAAAAATGCATTTAAGAATGAAGGGAGTACAGTGGCAGAGCTCCTTGGCTGGATAGGTGTATTCAAGAAAGTATGCAATTTATATTACACACAATATTCCTCTCTCCTCCATGGAGCTCAGAGAAGCATATAGGGGATATTATTTGTCTAAGACCACCCAGTGAGTTTTATAGCCATAAAAGCAGGGATTGGACTTTAGACATCTTACATCCTCATCCAACTTATTCTAGCCACACGCAACACTGGCTTTGAGGTTTAGAGTTTGTGAACATCTAATTGTGAAGAACAGAGCTGTGCTATATGTGCCTGACATTTGCAAGTTTCAAGTTTGGTGTTTTCGTACCCAAATAGAAAAGGTATATATGTTGGGAGGGTGCCTATGGAAATGTGTGTATATATGCGTGTGTACATGAACACATGGAGATATGGCTAGCTAAGCAAGAACCTGTCATAGTTCCCTAAGGATCATCTAGTCTAACTCCCTTTGATGCAGGAACCACAGTAAAATAACCCCTAACAGATGGCCGTCAAACTTCTGTTTAAAAACCTCCAATGAAAGAGAGTCTACCATATTCAAATGTAATCCATCCCACTGTCAAACAACACTTACAGTCAGAAAGTTCTTCCTAATATTTAGTCAGAATCTCCCTTCTTGCACTTGGAATCCATTGGTTCAGGTCCTACCCTGCAGCAGCAGAAAACCAGCTCACTCCATTATCCATGTGACTGGCCTTCAGATATTTAAGGCTTGGCCCTCTCTTCTCCAGGCTAAACATACTCAGCTCCCTCAACCATTCCTCATAAGATGTGGTTTCAAGACCTTTTATCATCTTGGTTGCCCTCCTCTGCACATGTTCCAGCTTATCAATATCCTTCTTAAACTGTGGCACCTAGAACTGGATTGAGTATTCCAGGTAGGGTCTGACCAACACAGAATAGACTAGTAATATTACTTCCCTTGATCTGGACACTGTACTTCTGTTGATGCAGCCTACAATTGCATTAGCTTTTTTCTTTTGCTGGTACATCACACTGCTGACTTGTGTTAAGCTTATGGTCTACTAAGACCCATAGATCACAAATTACTTTTGATAGTTTTGGTCCAGTTCTTCAATCTGTTAACATCATCTTGAATCATGCATCTATATTCTGAGGTATTAGCAACCCCTCTCAGTTTCCTATTTAAAGCTTAAATCTCTTTATCTTTGCTGTTGCCTAGCTTGCATCATGAACTGAACTAGAGAAAACCCATATTTTGTTGAAGGAACGATACTGCAGGCAATATGTGATTCCGTTCTCCAAAATTGCATGGAAAGGGACTCTGTGCAATCAGCATTCATGTAGAAGACCTCATATGGAGAGGCATACACACACACACACACACACACACATACAGAAGAGAAGGACTTGAACTGCTCCTCCATCGTGCTATTTCCAGACTGGCTCCTAGTCACTGGGAGCCGTGTTTTTCAGGATGCATTAAACACACTGACTGACTAAAAAGCTAAGAGGTTTCTGAACTGAGAGGCTAATGTGGGAGTAGAGAATAATTAAGAGGGCTGTTTTAATCTACTATGTATTACCTGACTTGATATGGTTGCTTCTGTGTTTTCATAATACTTAATCCATCTGTATATTGTAGCCCAACATTGTTACATACATCTCCACTGTTCTCCTGAAGTCAAATATCCTACTGCATAAAGAAGGAAGCATGTGAAACTGCAAAATAACAGCAACAATATATTCTGGTGTCTCAGCACATTTTTCTTTCTGAATTGTGTTCAACAAGGGAAATATTGTTCATGCTGTGAAACTGAGAATGAAGAAAAAGAAAAAAGTACACATAGTACTTTAGGGAAAGTTGAACCATTTCTGTCTAGTTTTTTTTAAATCCAGTCAAATCCAAATCTTTCCCCACTTCCAGAACTAATCTTTGTGATATTCACAATTGTAAATCTCAAGTAGTAAGGCTTGAAAAATCCAAATTTTAAAAAATACTAGTGGCTTCAGAATAACATGGAACCGTATAGCTAAGACTGATGATCCCAAAATCATGTAGCCTTTATTAAAATATGAGCAGTTCTAAAAATCAGTTTAATTTTTGACCAGCATCCAAAATGTAATGTCTTTCAAAATAGGTGAAATATGACTCTATCCCTTTACTTTTCATTAAGGGGGAAGTAACCTAGTAGTCCCCCTTTTCACCAACATGGGTTGTTCTTAAATAGGTCAATATAGAATTTCGGTAATCCTATCTTCTGGTATCCAAAAGCTCGGATAATCATCTCAGAGAAATAAATGCAACCTAGCAGTAGTGCATAAATGGGTGAAAGATGTTGTAGCCACGCCATTTAGAGGCTTTTTATGTGGGAGGGAAAGGTGTTAAATCAAAATGAAACATCAAAATTTTGCTGACATAGAAACAGCCTCAGCCCCTAAGGGCAGGTACATACGCTCTATGCAGCACACCCAATTTTTGTGGATACACTGGTGTTTCCCACAGCATATGCCTAAAGTGTTTAACATTTCAAATCTCTCTCTCTCCGCCCCCTCCCCCCGGTGTGAAGGAAGTAACAACATGTTGTTTTGGCATTTTTGATACAGTTGCTGCTAATCTTTCCATATGTGTGCTCCTTCTCAAACCCACCCATCTCACATGTCTTGCTACCCCCAAAAAAGGAAGTGGGTCCACAGCAACAACAAAAAAACAAAAGAGGGAAAAATAATGGTGATAATGATAACCATCATCATAATACTATATAGGAAAAGGAAAATTCAAAATAGAAAATTCTCTGAAACTTTCAATGAACAAAGCACAGTTAATTCCGTGCAATGATAGACTACCTGTGCTTTCTCTCTCCTTTTTTCAGGTGATCTTAGTCTGTAATTGATTTTATAATTGCTACTAGTTTTAAAATACTTTTTGATGCAGTGAATGCCTATAGTAAATCAAGCAGAGGAGAAATGGGTTACAGGGAGGAGAATGACAATCTCCGTTCTTCCCTTTCTCCCCATGTGCCTGTACTGGGCATCCTACTCTGAGCTGCCTCACGAAAAGGTTACTCCTTGAGAGAAGCAGCACATTGCTAGGATGCTACAAGTCCTTTCAGCATCAGAATCCCCCAGATTAAGCGTGTTTACACCATGATTTGGCCCCATTGCCTTCCTCCTCCATGTAGAAGTTGGTCCTTGGACCACCTCCTTGGGGACTTGGTGAATATGTTTTGGAAGCAGAAGATACTTAAGGGAAGAGAAAAGGTATGGCGAAGAGAAGAGGCAAGGAGGCAGGGGAAGAGAGGTGAGCTGGATTACTTAGGAGACCTAGGAGAAGGGAAGTGGTATGGAGGCACCAGGGACTTGAAGAAATGAGACAGAGAAAACTACAGACAGGGGCAAGGGAGCTAAGAAAAGGAAGCAAGGGTCAAGGAAAAGGGTGGTTGGGCAAATGCATCCAGGAACATTTCTGTACAAATTTTCAGCATTTGTCTGGCATGTTCCTATACTGTAATGTCAATTACAGAGAGTGAGAGGACGTTCTGTATGCTTCAATAGTGTGTTTGGTGGTGCAACAGCAACCTTTTACAGGCAGAGTTTGGATGCCAGTTGGAAAGATTAGCTCTGCAATTCCAGATGTTGCAAAAATTCCATTTGCATTTAAAATTTCTGCAGAAGGCAGCTTTCTGTGTTTAATTCTGACTCTGCTGAATAGCACTTTGAAACAATTTAGTCTAGATTATTCCCATTGGAATTATTATGGGGGAAATCAAATGATATAAATTAATCCAAAACTTCTTTTTAGCTTCATCATTACTGTCCTACAGGTGACTATTATATTAGAGTAGAATGGCTCAGAATCACTGAAAGCAGCATGCAACGCGGTCAAAATGGTGCTTTATAGAAGTTATCAAAACGAAACTGATATTATCCCTGCACTATTGACTTCATTGGTTTGTTGTTGTTTTAAACCAGGCTGTCATAGAGAAAGAATGGCCAGCTTTGGATTCCACCCGCTTCCTTTCACAAACACTGCTATTCTCAGACCAATTGCCCTCGCCAAAGGTAACATGTCACGGAAACTTTCTTCGTATTTGGCCTTTGTTCATTCCTTAAGGATCTCACTACACTTGGTGTGATTAATATTGCAATTTATTGACTGAAAAAACATAATTACTTTAAGAAGCCTCTGACTTCCTCCTCATCCCCAGATGTAATTTTTCATGTTGCTTTTCTTTCATTTGCTTAATTCCCCCCCCTTTATTTTTGGATTTCTTTCAACACTTTACTTCACAGTAGCAAAATATATATATATGATGATGTGCCTCAGCTGCACATTTGGCAGTGGATTAAAAATTGCTAGTTGACACAGCACTTTCAAAAACACTGAAGCCTGCAATATATGGCAACAGCTGAAGATTTTCAGAGCAGCTAAAGATCATTGAACTGTAATGTCTGTTAGCTATTTGATAATCTTTGAAGTTTCAGCTTTCTTTATGTTATGTTTAATTCTCTTTGTTATATGCAATGTGTTTTCAACAATATTTGTACTAGCAATAAGATAGAGAATGGTCATAAATGGCAGACAGTAGTGGTTAAGCATGTTACTTTTTCACTCATTGGAGTAATTAAATGCAAGCCTTACACTCTAGTCCTAAGCATGCTTCCTTCAGAGTGATTTCACTGATTTCAAGTAGGATTCCTCTCCAATTAAATGTGTTTAAGTTCAGGGTGCCAGCCATGCTTTCAGGAATGTAGTTTTAATTTGAATTTCAAACTGCTTCCAGATCATAACCTGCTCACGTCTTAGGTACATTGAGGTGGTTAAGTGCATTCCAGATTATTGCAAAATGACTGGATCTTGTTAAAGTCTGTGGCTGTGATCCAACTAAACAAAATGTGTGCATGGGGGAGAGCTGTGCACACAGACGGCTGTTTCTTTGAAGTTTCCACCAAGGATGCTTATGCTGCAACAAAGACCAGCTTTTTGGTTTAAAATGCATCTTCCTTTTGCAAGATGCAGCTGTGGTTGAAACCTCAAACAAACCTCCGACCTCACAGGGTTCTTTCCTGTGCATATAGCTTACTTAGGCACAGCCTATGAATGCAGTCTGTGTAAAATAAAAGAAGGATGGTCTGCATGTTGCTATTCTCATGGAATGATACTTTTGTTTGCTAATTTTCCTTGTCCAGTTATAAGTCAACGTGGCTTGTCACATAGGTCTATCATACCATGTAGAGTTTCATTCACCAGTGCTAGATATTCATGAAAGCATCACTCATTCACTGAGAAATCTTTTATGTGAAATTTTTCTATTTCTCCGTATTTTCTATTTCTATATTCTATTTTCTATTTCTCCATATTTTGCAATGCAGTGTACTTCTAGGACAAATCAAAGGTGCTGGATTTATCTTTTGAAAGCATGACGTGAGAGCCATGTATTTCAGAAGTCATCTCTCCCTATATCTGCACTCATGCCAATTATATTTCTCAGATCGGCCCCTGCATTGTAATTTTTTTCTGTGGGGAGTGAGAAACTGTGCTTGAAGCAAAGACTTTACAGCAATTGTTCAAAAATCTGTGTTGTCTCAGAAAAAGCATCAAGGCTCTTATTTTGGCTGCCAGATTTTATGACTTGCATCTGTCAAATTCTGAAAGCAAATAGAAGTTGTTTTCTTCAGTCATGTTTTTCTTTGTTTTAGGCCACTTCTAGACTGTTGCTGTTATGTAGATTGGATCCAATTGCATGCTAGCAAATTTAGGTTGCACAATTAAAGTAGAGTAAAGTAGACTCCTGTCCCATTTCACCATCTGAGGTCAAATGGAGAAGTTCTCACTCCCACCCATGCTGAAGGCTTGCTTAGCTGCGACTTCTGGATTCCAGTGAGATCTCACCGGAATCCAGAAGTTGCAACTGCTTCTCCTTGTTTGTCTGGTGGCAGCAGACCCCCACCTCCATGCCACCATGAGAGAAGTGAAGAGAAGAAGCAGCGGCAAGAACTTGTGAGAGCTCCACGAGATACCATGAGATTTTGCCAGTAGCTGCCGTTGCCTCACTTCTCGTCTCCTCACTTCTCTTGTGGCGGCAGCAGGGGCGAGAGGTGCCCACAGGAGCACTGCCCCTTGGGATTCCACCACCTGAGACAGCTGCCTTAGTCCACCTCATAGAAGGGCTGGTCCTGCTCTTGCACAGCACCCCCCAACCACCACCATCAAAAAAGTGAGAATTTTTGCACTATGGAAAGTGATAGGAAGTTGCACTAGCAAGTGATAGAACCATTGCTTGATGTGACATCATATAACCTCCCCACAAGCTACCAGAATGAATGTGGATGCTGTATAACTTCCCTGGAAATTTTGTGCAAACAAATCAGGATAAATGTTCAATGAGCAGGTCGTTAGAAAACAATCTTAATGTTTTATTATGCATTGAGCATTTATTAATTTTCTTGTAGACTGCATTGAGGCTAAGGAAAACTCTCCTATAAATGTTGATGGCTCTGATTATATAGCACATGCCTTACTTCTGAGTAGGCATGTATACCATTGCTTTATAAATGTGTACTGTGTTATGTTATTGTCCCAGAGAACTATTTGTTTAAACATTTTTATTCCTCTCCTTAAAAGTATAATGAACCTACAGGATGTGGGGACAATTCACATCATTTAAAGTGGCTTCCACATAAAACTCGGCAGCTTAAGGAAAGACCCAAATCATTCTTGTCAGAAAGCAGTCAGATTAGTAACAGGTAAGTAAATAAATAGCTTTTAATGTTGCTTTCTGTAACTAACCGATTTAATAATCGCTGGAAGAGCAATTAGAATTTCTTGTTGCTGTTTTGCTATTTTTAATTCATGTGATTTAAGTATTCAGCACATGTGCTTGGCACTAAAATAACGCAAATCAAATGCAAACAGTAGCTCTTTAATGAGCCAGTGTTTGCTCATTAATTTTTTTTAAAAAGCATAAAATTAAAGTGCTATAAACTGAAGTCATAAAATAAAAAAGTAAAGTATGAAGTAGACATTAAAATGCAGATATCTGCTAGATAAGGGCAGAAGGATTTCTTACAGCTCTGCATTCCTTTGTAGAAAAATCTTGAAATACGCTTTGAGTAATTGGAGTGTAAACATTTCATGTGGAAGTCTGACTTTTATTACTCTCCAAGATAAAGTTCCTGGTATATTAAAATAGATTTTATTTCTGGGTTTCAGAAGGCTTAGGTGCTTGGTAGCACTATAAAAAACTGTGGGGACTTACTTCTGTTACTGGGCTAGCTTTCAAGAACTTTTGCTTGTCTTCCTCAGGTCAGAGAAGAGCACTCTCTCACAGCTTTCTGACCTGAAACTCCCCCAAAGGTCATCACAAAGATCAGAAAAAGAAGAAAAAATTTCAGAAGAATGGTATGTTCAGTTTATCATACTTCCACTTTTAATGGCAACTGTATTTATCAGGACTTGCTCATTTAGGTGAAAGCTGTGTTAGTGGCTGTCACAGCTAATCTGAAACATTTGTGCTGGTGTGTCTGGTAACTTTGTACACCATCCTTGGATCATGATGGACACCATGTTAGATTTTCTGAGACTGAATCAGCATAAGTGATGGTAATAAGAACATAATGTGCAGTTGTTGGCAATGAGAATGGTTTTATTGAATCAAGTTTGTCCATAGTAATACATTTATGAAATATGGTTTGTGTATCCCCGAGATCAGTTGCCCGTTCAGCAGCCAGTGTTGAATGTAATCTTGAGCAATTATGCACACACTTTTCTTAATTTTAGTGGGCTAACGTTATTGGAACCATATAGAGGTCTACAACCCATGCCAAGGTCTCCACTCATACTTTATTTGTAATATGTGCTTTGCTATTGTATTATAGAGAATCCAAACAGCCCTGCATGTGGTATACACAAGTAATTCAACATTTTAGGTCCATCCCCTTCTCACGTGTCCTTTGCTGTCCCTGAATTCACCCCTCAGTGTCAAAATGGCCTCAAAGACCAATATTCAATGTGATGTGAGGTCTGCACTGTGATGTGAGGAAAACTGACAACTCTTCTGGGTATGCACAGGAGTGGCTTTCCGTGTACCTTCCTGTATATTCAGTAAATGCATATTTCTTGTTGCCTGATGACTAAAAATCACCTTTCTTTTAGGGGTTTTAAAGACATTTCTACTGCACAGTTGATGCTAAAGAGAGCACATAAAATGAAAGCAAAGAAATCTAATAAGCTTGGTAAGTAAACATTCCTGATGAACTATGTGATAGAAGTTACATGTCATAAATAAATCTGGTCTATTGATCTACATCTGGAAAGAGGCCCTCACCTCTTAAAAGCATTGAAGTGTATTGAAAGGTTGACACACCCAAAACTGATTGATGTTCATGGGATTGCTACTTAAGTATCATTGATTTCAAAATAGCTTGCACTTCTATGCACTTATGTGTCATAGAATTATTTTGATTTTATCAGCCTTAATTTTGTTTATAATGTAGACATTCATTTCATATCATCTGGAAATATATGTGGACAATGGTTGCTCTAGATTGTTTATTTAATAAGACAATTCTCAATTTTGTGATTTTTTTTAGAAAACAATTTGAAAACATTGAAATGCCAGTAATGTTGACTTCTAATTTCAAGTTATCAATGATGCCACTTTGATATTTTGAATGCTATTTGAAACTCCCTTGCAGATGTTTTGATGTATCATCAGTGTTGAATTTTGTGTGGCAAAATCAAGTATGCCTTTAAGAAATGCAATTTAAAATCTTAAGCATGTGCCTGTGACAAAGGAAAAGAAAATGGAGAGAGCCCCCAAAGAGTACATGCAAGTCCAGGGATTCTCATGGCCTCCCACCCTGTTCTATCAAAATATCCAGAATATCTGGTGTCCAGCTGAATTTTTCACATACATACATCTTGGTGGCCTACGTATCATTTGTAATTAATGGAACCCATTAGAGTGTATCATCTTTTCTCCATATGTGGTCTGCTTTATGTTACTTATGATTAATCCATTCCTAAATGGTTGTTTCTTAAAGCATATCAAAGTCTGCTGTCCTGTCTTTTGTTGTATATAAAGGACTTCTTGATGTTCTAATATTAACAAGGTTGGGGAAATGAGTGTTTGTACATTTGCTTTCTAAAAAGTGTTAATTTCACAACTAACTGAGAATATAATCTGTATATAAACAGAGGGCTGTTAAGAGCAACAGCATTCCTGACAGATGCCAAGTTCCCAAGAGATGCATGTGCATTAAGATAAACGCATGTGCAATACATATAATACACAGAGTTTTCCCATTGCTAGTAAAGGGTTGAGTAACAGCTCCACCAGGTGGTCAAAGGCTGGGTGAAATTGAGGGAATTAGGCAGCTCCCACAATTCAGTTTGCTCCTGCCTTCATCAAAGAAGTCAGCTCCTTCTCTTTTTCTCCTCAGGCTAGTTTTTTGCCTGTTTTCCCCTCCATTTTCCCCCTCTCTGTCTCTGATTGCTCTGGTAATTTTTCACTTTGCCTTTTAGTGACCCTATTTCTTCCTTAGTGCAGCTTTGCAGTCCTTTTCCCCCCTCAGCTCTCTCCAGTCCACCACCACCCTTTTCCTTATTGGAAATTTTCCCACCTGTTTTCTTTTCCTGTTTACTCTGTTCTTTCTATTAAAAGAAAGAAAGAAAAATAAAAAATAAAAAGCCATTCCCTCTCCCTTCTGTTGTCTCCTCTCCTTCCCTCCCCATATTCTGGCTATTTTGGAATCAGAGGGTGGATAGTGGCAGGAAGCCTTCTCTTAGCTTCTTTGGTAAGAAGCCTTTTAAGCTGCCTCACATCCACCTTCTTACCAGGCATGTGTGTTGTACACTGCTTCAGTGCCTGTAGCCTTTGTACCAGGAGGGGATGGCATCCAACAGCCCTCCTAGTGTGGCCTCTGGCTGTATTGCTATATTGACTTCCCCCATGTTTCTCTCTGCCCGTTGCCCTGGACCATAGACTATGTATTGATAGGCTGCTCAGTAACTCTGCTGTCCATACTCTATGGCTCAAAGCAGCACAATCAGAGAGAAAGGAAAGAGCAGGTGATGACTATTGTCATCTTACTACTCTGATTGTGAGCTTTCCTGGGGCATCTGTAGAAAACAGAATGCTGAACTTAATGGGTCTTTGGATTCATTCAGATTCTTATGCAAATTATAATGTTTGGGTTTGAAGGGACTGCTAAATTCTCCATTTTCTGAAGTCCACCAAATTTGCCTGCCAGTTTAAAGCCCCACAGACCCAAATTATAACTGAATCATACCCCAAGTTTGCTGACATCTGCTATATATTCTCTTTGAAAAGCATTTCTCCATTTCAAGCACAATATGGAGTCGTTGTCTAGGTACATAGTGAGCACTATCCTGAACTCAGATTAGAAAGAAGGCGATCCAGGCTATTTGCATGTTTGTATTCTTTTACGAAGTCTGTCTGTGTTGATGTCTGAAAGTTTGCATGAAGGGAAATTAGGTTCTGGCAAGTACCCAAGTCTTGTGGCTTTTATCAAAAGGAAGGACTCAGAATTAGCTTTCGATATATGCTGTGCTGTAGTGTAGACAACTGGTGTCTGAGTACTTTGCTGGACCAGTGCTGTCAGGTAATGGATCAGAGGGCTGTTCTGCTTTAATCCATTACAGTTATGAATGTTTATTCAAGCAGTTAAATAAGTTGTGGCCACAGTTTAACCATACCAAATGTGTGCTGTGATTTATTCATCTACTGTGTCCACACCAACTACTTTTCTCTAATATGAGATAATCGGAAAAGTGTGGGCATGATACTGGAACACTTTGCAGCCAAGGAGAACTGGCAGAACGTCAAAAGATTTCCAAGTGTGGAGAATGCACAGTCTTAATTAAGCAGTAGTCCACAATGTATCACTTTGGTTTTAAACACCCATGGTCACAAAGTGTTATTTGCCATGTCTTGACAAGATAGGAACTGTGTTCCTCATTATACTTTGATTCTTGAAGATGCAGTATTTATCCTCTTAAGCCTGTAATCCTAATCCCTGGCTGGCAGTGGCTGGGCATGATGGAGTAGCACAGTAATCATTGCATCCACAACCCCATCACTCACACCACTCAGAGTGGAACATGGGGATTTTAAAAAGCCCCTTTCCTGCACCAGCACTCAGACTGGTGCTGCAAAGACGCCTAGTTGGAGCCCAGTGCTATCATGTGACTGTAACAAGGCACACTTCATAACTACAGGATCATGTGTGTTACCCTGCTGCATTTCAGGGTTTTCCACTGGCCACTGTCAGTGGAGGGTGGTGAAGCAAGGCTGGGCTGGGCAGAGGAACACTTCCTCTCTATCCAAATGTCCGCCAGCACAGCAATTCACAGATTGGATTGGTCTGTAATTCACAAATACTCTGTCATAGTTCTTCTCCCACACAACCCCCCCCCCATTTAAACAAAGTTTAACCACTTAAAGCTTTCACTAAAATCAAACAATATATAAATTTTATCAAGGGCTTGTGTCTCGTTTTACATTACAGTGCTAAGCACTTTTTCTAGAGCCAAGCCAACTTATCTTTAATGGCACATCATCCAAATGATAGGGTTTAACATTCTAGTCTACATCATATGTAATTCCAGTTTCTGTTACCAGTGCATAATATAATAAAATACACATTTGCTCCGTAAGAGTAAACCATAGGAATAAAGGCATAGTTAGAGTAAACCATAGGAATAAAGGTACAGTTCTTCTGATTTCAATTCCCTACAGGTATTGATCGAGTGGAAAGGTCCATACAGTTGGCCCCACACACGTAACTATTGTTCACAAACATGTAGTTCTGAACAATGATGGAGACTTTTCCACACCATTGGTTTTTTGTGTGTGTGAAGAGAGCTTAATATGTTTAGATGGAGACGCACCATCGGCATCATCCAGGTGTCCTTGTCCATAGGAGTGTGCTACCTGTACAGTGCTGTGTATGAAAAACTCCCATTTCCAGATGATTAATGCTGGCAGATGATTGAAGCATCTGTCACGGATGCGTTAACTGAGATTTCTGCATTGCTGGGGGTTGAACTAGATGACCCTTGGGTCCCTTCCAACTCTACGATTCTATGATATATTTGATAGCACTGATCACCTATTGAGATGGGAGGCAGTAAGTGGAATCAGCCACCTTCCCCCTGAGTAGCCCACAAGCAGCAGATAGCACTGACCATCTGTTTGATGCTTCCCACACTTCAGGTACTGGATGTAGTGGAAGTTTTTTTTTCCCCTCCCCAAAATGAGAGATGTTGCCATTGTAGCACCTTTTTGTACGGGCAAGGGGATGTAGAATTACGATAAATGTAGGGAAGCCTGTTTTCATCGGGTGGATTTGACAAGTAACACACTTTATGCAACACATTATTTGAAAATATTTATTATAGGTCTTCTTTAAAGTTAGCACCAGATTATAGGATGCTTATAATTTCCAATTTTGAAATAGACACCATTATTCAACATCCTCGGCGGTCTCAACAGGTCGGTCTAGTTATAGAATATGTAGGCTGGGCCTACTCAACAGAAAGTGCAGCTTCCAGCTAGAAGATTCAAATATTATTTTAAATATACAGATTTTAATTGGCATTTTGCTTTACCATGGAAACTGGCCCAGAGAATAATTGGGCCATGGAATAATTGTTTAAGATATGTCACACAAATCAAAGTGATTTCCTTTCTCCTTTCTTTTTAACTCTTTAATGTTAGAAATAGTATATTTTCCCTTGATAATGTAAAACCTACATAGATCTCCCCCCCCCCTTAATAAATGGCTAAAAGGCGAATACTTCTTTTAGGGAATGAGTGAGCAAGATCTGACCTTTTGATTTTAACTTGTTCATGTCGTCTAGACCCAGCTGTGCGCCTGGCGTTGTTCAAAAACAATGAAAATAAACATCCCCCTGTGAAACCACCAAAGAAGGCACAGACTGCAAAAACTGGTTACTTTGAAGGTATGCAAAGGAGTTTCGTTTTATGTTTGACTTTTTTTCTCAGATCTTTCGAAATTATGAAAGTCATTCAGATGTATGGATCAATTTCCTTAAAATACTTCTTTTTAGGTTGACAATGACAAACAGTTTAATTCAGATAATACAGATCTGCTGTCCACCCCCACCCCCTTGAACACATACACACACACACGGAGAGAGAGAGAGAGAGAGAGAGAGGTGTACCCAGGTGGAAATTTTAAACTTCAGTTTATCAGAGAGCCTAACAAAGTGATATCTTCATAGAAAATATATTTCCTTTATTTCTTGAATGTTTGGAATCGCAGGAGGCAGGGTGGAATTTAACATCAGCAGCAAGTACACATATGTTATCTGTTAAAAAGGGTTGCTAGTTTTGAAAGGGGATGCCCTAGGAAGTGAAACAATTAGAACACTTTTTCATTTTTGTTAAACTGGAATATATCACAGTAGTGAAAAAGTATAAGGAATGAGACTATCAAATACATAGTATGTTTCTTGACTGCTTCTTCTCATTTTGACTGAATTATCAGTGTTAAAATAAATCCTGACACAATAAGGAAGAGAAATAATATATATACAAAACTGTATCTGGCTACTAGATATGCAAGGGTTTTTTACGGTATTCATAATCATATGTGGCTAACTTGCTTTGTTATTTTCATATTGCACACATTTGTGTTTCATATTTTTAGGATTTAAATATTCTTCTTCTAGTAACAGATAGAAATTGTAGTGGGGAAGCATTTAGTACCTGTACTAAAATGTCCAGTTAATAGATCAGACTAAAACCAATTTTAACTTAGATTTATAATATGCCAAAATAATTATTTTGAGCTGACATCCAGTTCTTGCCTTGCTTCAAATTTTTCATACTTTAGGTTTTGTAGGATGATAGCAGCAAAACTCAGTAGGAGAATAGAGATTGCTGGGCAGGCATATTTATCCTGAAGAGTTTAAACAGTGTGTTATTTATTTATTTATTTATTTATTTATTTATTTATTGTCTTACATAAATATTGCATTTTTCTCACTTTAAGCTGAAATAAATTTCCAAAGAAGTAATTGAAAATTTGTTTCCTTAAAAGGCTACTCAAAACTTCATGAAAAACCCTTTATTATTGTTTTCCACATATTTACCCTTATTTTTCAGATTCTGTGCACGTTTAGGCCCTGTTGCAAAGCAAGACAGCATGAATTAATTGCTTTGTTTCTTTAAGACAATGCTTGTTTTTTATATTCTAGGAAATAGTATAGTACACAAACTTCTAACTGGGGAATTGACACAACAAGGAAGTATAGAAGCAAATTGTTTCCGTAGGTATCTTTCTCTGACAAGGACATAAGAAAGAGATGCAGGTGGTATCCATGGCTTTAAATCCATATAGTTCCTGTGCACATGCAGACTTTTGAGTATGCAGAAATAGCAATAGAAGTCAATGCAGCAACCTCAATATAAACTCATTATACTGTATGGCACAGTATCCTTTTGTCTGGGAGATGCTCTTACCATGGCCATTTTTTTCACATTGTTATGCAGTTTAGTTCAGCATACTGTATACAGCTTCTTATGGTAAGCAAGCGTCATACACATGAAATGCATTGTTCTTTAATGATGGGGAAATGATGGGGGGAAAGACATCTCTGGTGTTTGTTTGTTTTTAATGTATTTTCCAATTAGTGAATTAGGAAACATTTTTATAATAGATAGAAAGGATGCTTGTAACCCAATTTATTGGGTCAATGAGATCCTACTTTAATAATTGTATTGTTTAGATACTGGTCTGATTTACACTAAGCCAAACCATGGCTTATTATGAAAGAGTGAGTGTGTGAGTACTCAGATTCAAAAACATTACTCCTTCACTCCTTCCCAAGTCCTGCTGCTGTCATGCTGCCTGGAGCTAAACCATGGTTTGGCTTAGCATTACGTCTGAACGTAGGCTTGTGGTTTGTCAAACCACATCAAACCACGAGTTGTCATTCTTGGTTATCATTCGTATTTAGCCTGAGGGAGACAAATGATGAGCCTAGGTTTGCTTGTCACTAAGGTGAACTATAGCTGCATTCCAGGAAGCATGGCAGCAGCAGAAGTAGCAGCAATTTTTCCACTGTTCATTCGTTCACAATTCACTATAATTTGGCCTACTTTTAAGTGTAAACTGGCCCATTGTATTCTTTATGCAAAGAAATAGAATTTTCATTTCCAAAGTACTTCTCTTCCTCCTCCTTTTCTTTCAAATGTGAGGTCAGTGGTGGTAACCAGAGATGAGGCCCTTTCCATTGTCTCTCTTTGGAATCCCTGGAGGTGCATCTATATCTTGTTGGTGGCAGATGAAGACTTTTTTATTCACCTAGGCATTCTTGATCAGTGATCTATCTTAATTTTTTTATTTTATTCCTTTAACTTGTATGGAGACCACTGGTTGTTCTGTTTTTTTAGAAGCTGGTTATAAGTATTTAAAATAAACGTAATTATGTTTTAAAAATAAAAAAGCTTATTCTGGATAGGCAAGATTGAAACACAATGGAAGGATCACCTCCTTTATTGTTGGAGAATATATGGAGTATAAAGTAGCAGAAGTGAAGAGAAAAGGTTTTACAACTTTTGTATAGTCCTTTGGGGTCAGTAGCGACCCCATCAGCAAAGAGGGCTAATTTTGGGGGGAATACTTATTCAGTATATAATGTCAATTACATGTATGAGATCCTACTGTTTAACTAATAACTATGTGTATACATATGCATTATATACGTAATCAGACTTTGATGTTGCTGGATATGAAAATGCACCACAACTATGTCATGTACTGCATCTTTTTTACATTTGTTAGAATAGGGGAGGATAATCATTGTAATGAGAAGCACATTGCAACCAACAGTTATAGAAATGAATTTTCTGTGAAGATCTACACAAAGAATTTCTGACAAATCCCAGCCATCTACTGTAACAGCACAGATAGTACTTGAAACAATGCACCAGTGGCTCACTAACAGCTAGAGATAGATGCCAAGTCATACTTTCACAGTCTTGACCTCACATTGATTCAGCTAAAGCTGTTTCAATGTGTATGGTAAGCCAGCAAAACTGCCATATGGGGTGTAGTGCAAAACGTTGTACAGATAATATTAATTATGGGAACGGCATGCTTTTACCATAATACCAGGTTCGTACTGATCTCATATGATGGAACATCGCAGTTTACCATTTCACCAGCACTGTTACTGCCCCATCTGATATTTAGCTCCATTCATTGCCAGTACAAGATCCACAGCTAAACTTGGTATCATTGACACGTGGCACAAATATACGGTACCTTTAAAGATATATAAGCCACTGGATATTTTATATATCTCTAAGTGATGTACAGTATAAAACAAAAATATCATAAAAATAAATGTACAATCTAAAATGAATAAAGTAGCAGTATAAAAGCATGCAAAAAGGGGGGGAAGGGAATTTGGGTGATTCAAGTTCACAGACACACATGGGGGTGAAAACAATCTATTTTTGAATTCCACTTCTGGCCTGGTTTTGAACTGGAACAGCTTTGGTTGCCTTGGTAGACAATCCAAGCTGGGAACTTAAGAGGGGGAATAAGTCCTGGTAGGTTCTCTTGTTCTCATTCAAGACCACTGACCACAATATCCTTCTGGACTGACTGGCAGAGATGTTTTGCAGTGATTCTGGTCTTTTCCCCCAGGAGGTACTGTTGGGGGATTCCTGTTCAGTGTGCCGTATGGTGTCCCTCAAGGATTAATTCTGTCCCCCATGTTGTTCATTGTCTACATGGAACCACTGGGAGAGGTATTCCAAAGATTTGGAGTATATTGTCATCGATATGTAAATGACACACAGTTCTATTGCTTGTTTCATCTAATATGAAGCAGGCTGTTATGGTTCTGAACCCATGATGGGGTGGTATTGGGCTGGATGAGGACTAACAAATTGAAGCTCACTTCGGATAATGGATGTGCTACCCTGGAGTAGGGATTCAACCTGCCTTAGATGGCTTGAAAAATCCGGTTTGTTGCTCGAGCAAACTCCTGGATTCAGCTTTACATCTGAATTACGGTTGGTTGGTTGGTTGGTTGGTTGGTTGGTAGGTGGTTGGTAGGTGGGCCAGAAGAGCCTTTACTCAGCTTAGGCTGATATACAAGCTGTTCCAGTTCTTGAGGAAATCAAACCTGGCTTCAGATGAAAACCATGCTTTATACTCTGAGCTCTGTTGAAGAAAGGAAGGATAAAATGGTAATAAATAAACAAGTTGATGTTTTGGTAGTTGTATGCTATGCAGATATTTTAATCTCTTTTGCTTGCAAATATTTAGCCTCCTGATCAGAAAATATAATCATTTTCCTGGGGGACCACAGTTTGCTTGGTATTCTAAGAATTTCAACATTCGTATTTTCAAAACATCTAGCCTGTTAATGACTGCACTGTCTTCCACAGGCAGACTTTTGCTTACATGTGGTTTTTAGGATTACATCTGCAGCAGCACTGCATTGCTCTAACAAAGTTTTTGCTTGTTTGTTTTTGTTTTTCACATCCGAGCTTTTAAGAACAACAGATCTGTCCTGCTGGATCAGACCAAAGGATAGGCTACGTGTCCATTCCCAAACATTTAGCTGACCTTGAATTTAGTTTATTTACTTATACTAGCCTCCTGCCAACTGGCACCCTCCAGATGTTTTGGCCTGCAGCTCCCATCAGCCCCTGGCATCTAGAGAGCACCTGGTTGGCAAAGGATGGCTTATACTGCACTTTCTTGTTAAGACAATCACAGTGCCTTAGGTTCAAGATACAACAGAACAAAATCAAGAGCAAGAAACCCATTTGCTTTGTTTGCAGTTTGACAGCGAAACAGACTCCCTCAGAAGGTGGTGAGCACTCCATCTTTAGAAGTTTTTCAATAGAGCTTGGATGACCATCTGCCAGGCATTTTTTAGCTGTGATTCCAGCACTGCAGGGGGTTGGACAAGTT